GATTCAATTGGGTTTAATTAATGTTTTATTAAAATATTTCGCTGCTTTTGTCAGCGCAACTGGTTAACTATGGCTGAAGAAAGTAAGGCAAACAATACGACACATAAATATCGCCAATGAAAACATTTAAAAATTTTCTTTTAGCAAAAAGCACAAGTAATACAATACATCTTTCTATTTTCTTATTAATTTAAGCTAACAAAGAGTACAATATTTCTATTTACGGCAACAATAGTTGTAGTGAGTCATGCATCTAATTCTTCATGCAAACTAATTCCCTTAAAAATGTCGCAGAAAACAAATGACAAAAAACAGAAACACGAACGACAACATTCCCCCGGAAAGACGCGTCTGATAAGATACGGCTTTTTGTGAAAAACTATTATTTACATACATATTTGTTCATGTGTATGTAAAATCAAGTGCAAAGCCTCTATATGTATGTATGTATGTATATTTCATATGTATGTCGAAAATTTTATCGTTATGCGTTTTTAAACCCTGCACAGGTGATTTTAAGTTTGCTACGAAATTTGTAACACACAGAAGGAAACGTCGGAGAACCGACGTATAGAAACGATTAGCGTGACGAGCTGAGTCGATTTAGCCATGTTCGTATGTGTATACGCGAAGTAGTCCCTCAGTTTTTGAGATATCGATCGGACATTTTGTACATGTCTTTCTCCTCAGGAAGCTGCTTATTGGTCGGAACTGCCGATATGGGACCACTATAGCATATAGCTACCAAACAAACTGGACGACCGAAATTTCTTGTAAAGAAAACTTTTTTATTTGTGAAGGGAAGCTATAACCGCTTCGGTGCAAGCGAATTTAACGTTCTTTTTTTTTACATACAAATTTAAATGTTTTACAATTTCTTGCTACAGAGAAAACTGAAAAGAAGTTCGCTTAGAGTTAATGTGACAGCAAATGCAAGAGTTATCCATATTTATAACATAAATAATTCATGTTTATCACATATTTATTTACATGCCGTTAAAGTCATAAAATTGAGTACAAAAGTTATAAAAAAATGCTCATAATACAATATATTTAAAGATAATATAGCTTTAAATACTTATAATCAAAAAATCTCGTGTTTGCCATAGAATTTAATTTTAAGTAGAACACTTTATGATCAAAAATTTCACCAAGGTGTTGCAGCGCTCATTTTTGTTGCAAAAACCTTACTTGGCAGCTCAAATATTATATATTTTCAACACCTCACGATATGCTGTAACCTAAAATGAAAGAATATTTCAGCTGAACTGCTTATTCCGCCAAAAAACTGACATCAGAGCCTAATTAACTAAGAATTTGGTTGAGTACGCACAAAATTTAGCCACTTGTTGCATATTCATCAGTAACGGTGTTCGGCACACAAAGCAAACAATTGTAATTATTTCTGTATCAGTATACAAATAAATTCGTGCTTACTCAAATAGGTATGCTTGTAGTTGAACACACACCCAATTTTATCTATACCCGATAAAGTTAGTCACTCTTTAACACTCTCGACTACGTTAAGCTCATAAAGCGAAGCAACATGAAATAGTGTTACTCATGGCTTTAACTCTGACACTCTGCCACTGACAAAGGAATTCACATATACACACATACATATATCAATTTTGTCATATCCAATTTTATTATATTGCGATGATTATGAAGGTATATATTGTATGTATTTGCTCACTATTTTCATCTACAATCGCTCAACGCGCCCACAACACTCTCCCGACAACATTCGATTTTTCACAACAAAGGCGACTGATAATGCAGGCAACCCGGCATCAGCGTCATCTTCATGGGCTCAACAATTAAATTTCCGACAGTAATTTAAATCAAAGGACAGCAGGACGAACCAGCAAGGTGGAGATGGTGGAGGGGCTGAACGGTGGACGGACAAGGCTATCAGCGAACTCACAAACATTTTGTGCACACTTACGCCACCACACCGACCCATTGAGCACATGGCTCTGCAGGCGAAGCCGGAAGGGACGCCAACAAGAGCGGAAGCAAGATTTGTTGGCAGGCAGCTCGATGTGTACGGTATAGTTAGCGGTTTTTGCGTTTTGTGGTCATGTGTATTGTTGTTGTCGTGTTTCTTTGTTGGTTACGGTTATTTATAAAACATCGACTAAAATGTGTATAAATAAATTAATCAATGAAGACTTGACATAATTAAAGCACACACGCTCTAAGTGAGCTCATGGACCGCTAGCAGGCCGCAGGCAACTACTGAGCCGGTAGTGACATTTTACACATAACTGTTTTAAAAAGCACTATTACGTTGAATTACACACAATTATTTAATTAGTTTCACAGCCACCGACACAAAGAAATAAGAAGTATTTAATTACATTATCGCTGTATTTGAGCTTATCACTAGCGCTCGCGACACCTCCAAGAGCGAGAGACCGACGAAACCTCGGCGAACCTCTTCACTGCGCCTCCCGGTTGCACACTGAAAGCTGGACGCCACCAAGCTACTAGCCAACTGTCAAAAGAGTAAAAAACACTTGGCACAATGCGGCGACACTACGTGATTTCGTTTAGCGGCGCGTCCGTATTACCACAATTTTCACTCGATAGTGTAGACGCAGCAAATTCAATTAACCAAAACACGGCGCTCGACAAACCGCAAGCAAAAAATCGTTATCGTAATCGTAATATTCAGATTATGAAGCGCGAAAGGCCCCTCTCTCTCGCTCCGTCTCATCGGCGTCTTGCGCTAGTCGCTGAATTTTGTTCACTCGAAACGCTTGCGATAATATTTTACATTTTTGTTTTTCCACTTTTCGACGTGCTTTTTCGTTTATTCTATCTTCCACTTGCACAATATTTTCATTTATTGTATTCGCATTTAGGTAAATATTTCATTTACTATCCATATATAAGCAATGGTGAAGCGATAAGACAGCGCAACAACAATAGCAAACGAATCAAGAGCTCTATTAGCCGTGATCGGGCATACAATGGCGGCGCCAACAACGCGAAAAGTGAAAAATTCACCTTTTTCGCACTTTCCGGCAGCACAAATAATTCAACTCGCATTAAGTTTGATTTATTTTTATTTACTTATTAATTAAGCCAGTTGTTGTTGTCTAAAATGGTATTTGTAGTATTTGTTGACTTTTGCCCGCTCACAGATATCAACTAATACTTCTGACGGCGCGAAGTGCGGCGATACGTCCGATATGCCAATGAATCTACATATGACTGTGCGCGTTCTGTCAATCGTTTCCTTTGAACGACATTCTAACTGCCGTTAGTTCGCACGTAAGAATGTGAAATCGCCATTGGCGGCAGGCAAGCACCTTCTCGTTAATGTGGAGGCAAAGGAGAATTCACAAATGCGCACACACTGGCACATTCATAAGTGGAATACTTATCTCTGCCCTGCAGGAAAATTTTTGGTAAAGTAGGCGAAGCAGGATCCCCATTCAATTCTATTCGATGTCGTAGGATTCCAAAAATACATCGGGGATCATAAATTAACCAAGAAGAAACCTCTTCTCAATGTCACGAAAAAACTAAAACTACTCATGGTGAGCATAGATTTTTTAAAAGGTGTCATTGCTTCTCAATGATAGTCATATCTCAAAAACTTTGTTCAAGTTTCAGTATTTGAAACGATAAATTACGTGAGATCATTCCGACAATAAATGTTGTAAAGGAAAACAACTGAACTCTTGTGAATGAGTTCGGTGAGGAAACTTTGGATTCACAACTCATTTCAAGTTATTGGAAATTTGTTTTGCTCGAACATATAAGCCATACATTTCTTGTGGGGAACCTTTGCATTTATGCCAGTGAAAGTTGGCATGTGAGGAAAACATAAACTGACACAATCAGTGCAAAAAACCACCCACCTAGCAGGATACTTTCATAACCACACATGTAACTTATATATATATTTATATATATATATATATGGTATATATAAAACTTTATATTTATAAAAATAAATAAACAAAACTCCGCTAAATACGGTTTTTTCCATACAAATTAATGCATTTGATACACATTGTGGAAACAACTCAAAGAAATTTTGCTCTACTACCGTTATAAAAAAGCTCAAAACAAGCTTACTAGTGTTTCTACGTATCAATGGATGCATAAAATGTTTTGGTAAGAATTTCGATCGGTGTAACTCTGTGATCAAAATTGACTTGGACTGGTCCATATAAAGTGCGTGCGTAAACGAATCAATAAAAAAAAATATGGTCCCAGATTGGTACAATCTTTTTTTATGTGCGTGTGAAATTTGATCCCCATATATCAATTAGTGTGTGTTAGACAGCTGTTTGTTTACGACGTCTGGCGATTTTTACCATGAAAAAAATTTAACAAAGAGTTCGGTTGAAATTTTGTATTCTCAATAGAATTTCGACTACCGAATCGTTGAAAATGTTGCGGAAGTGTTTTGAGGAGTCTAATTTATGATGAACACAAGTATTCGAGTGAAACAAACTTGAAAATGGAGTAAGCGTCAGAGAGATAGCAGAGGATCTCAACATCTCTTATTGATCAGCTCAACACATTTTCGTTAATGTTTTGGGTATAAAGCATGCTATACTCGAACCAAAAGACCAGCATCTTTTGTAAAAAACGACGTCGAGTAGCGAACTTTACTGAAGAAATTATTGACAACGTAGCTGAGGACCCTACATTTATGGAGTTTATGAATACAAGTATTCAAACTGTTTAACAGTCTAGCGTATCGCGCTCCAAAAATGAGCTGAAGCCGAAAATCCTAATCAGCCGAGATTTACAACAAGTGTATGGAACATGTTATTAAGCGTTGGCATGCTTGCTTGGCTCAGGAGTTTATTTTGAAGGTGATAAAAGAGATTTGTATTAAAACAGGTAAAAAAAATTTTTTTTTTGTTGTCAGGCCGGATTAAATGTGTTCAGTTGGTATGTCCTGAATAACTAAATTGAAACTAAACTAAAAGATTTCTTATATTCATAAATATATTTAGGTCACCACCAGCACTTTCAACAATTCTTCGTACCTTCTTTAATATCATCGATGCTCGAAGTTTAAGTACTTTAGTATTGCGCAGTGCCAAACTTTGCCATCGTGGCACGGCATTTTGTCTGCATTAGAGAAGAATGCTTTTGTATCACCCTGTACTATAGTAATGTACCTGCACACTTGCAAATTAAACGAGTGCCTCAATTGGGTTAAACGCATAAGTATGTAATCTTCTAGTTTACAACTGCGTCTTAAGCAATCAATCAGCCAAGCTTTAAGAGACGAAACAAAAGAGTGTTTAACGTTGTACTGAGAAATTTAATATTTACCCGTCGTGGTGCAATTGCCGCTGTCACAATTTAGGTTAATTTCGATGCACCAAAACAGATGAATGAAAACAACAAGCACCAAGAAATATGAGCCGAGACGCCACAACATCGCCGACAGTGCAGTCGGTGCTCTTATTAGAGAGGTAAATATGCTTATAAGTGAAAATTTGTTTGCAATGGATGATGTAATGGGATTACTCTGAATATATACATATATACATATATATGGGTGGAGGTAATTTAGTATGAATTAACTTATAATGACTGCACTTGCAGAGGAAAACTGCTGACGAAGTCTTAAACTGCACGCAATTGAATGTAATCTAAACAACACTAGTTATCATTCAGTTCATTTACAACAACTTCAAAATTGTAATGCAATTATATAAGAAATAGGAAATTATTAAAGTAATATAAGTTTGGGAAAAGTTAAATTAAAATAATGTGTGCATCTTCATACTCGTACGTTCGCATTTGTGTGTGTGTTGGTATGTACATTGACATTACGTAATGGCAAGTGACTAATTTAATCAAAGTTTAGTATATGAATTGTTTCTGAGAATACGCTTGGTAAAGAGATCAGCTTTTCCCTGAAATCATCAGAAAAATCTCTCATAAACCACATAGTTATGTATATATACTATGTATAGTTATTATTCGTCCAACTAAAAGCGCGCACACACACAGATTCATAATTTTTATAGGTGTAAGACAAAAGCAGAGACGATAAGTAAGGTTATGAACGAAATTGCAGTAGCTCGATTATTGCATGTAACAATAGTTGAAACCATTGCGAAATTACTATATCACTTTTTTACATGTATGTATGTACTCTTACATGCATACTCACAATAGGGTTAACCCTTGAAAGTTAAGCTCTTCGCAAAACATGAATAAAAACTCGATAAAATAAAGAAATTTTATATATATTTTTAATATTAATTGAATTTCATATACAGAGCCCATATAATACAAAAGGCCATTATAGATACAAAAGGCTTTATTTATATGTACTGTTGAAGATTATTTTAAAAAAATCTAAACTCATTGTACAAATAAGTACAACCCTAATATCAATGCACTCACATATTTACAGTTTGTAAACTAGAGATGTTGGCGCAGTGTTTCTAAGCTCCCCGAAGGGGCTGCCACTTTTATAGCTTCCACTGTTTACCATCCGCATTACATGACTCGAAACACTTTGTATATACATACAGACATACATACATACACACATACATACATACATATGTACATTCATGGGGTATATGAATGCAGCTCTGTATTGCCCTCTATCAGCTTTTGGAGGAAGTGTTGTGATAAATTCCCACTCATGCGCAGACACTTATGCAAATGATGCGATGATGGCAGGCACACACACACACACGAGCCAACGTGCCTGATGCAGTGCGCGCTTTTCCCCAACACTTACATACGATACACAGGCATACACTCGTACATATGTATGTGTGTACATGCATGCAAGTAATTTTTCCATCAATTTGCTTGTTACTTTTGTATTAATTTTTCTACAATTGCTTATTTCAGAAATTAAAACTTTTTTCTATGGAAATGTTGATTAAACACGTGTCTAGAAATGTGAATAGGTATGTATGAATTTGTGCATATGCGTTAGGGTGGTTCATTTTAAGTGTAACATTAATGTTACAAATAACTGGCGTTTACACCTTCGCTTGGGGCTTCGCCGAGCTTCTCGTCCGATTAGTAATATAGTGCATATGTAAATGTATGCGTGCAACGATATAAAAATTTTCAAATGGCATTAATCCGTTACATCGAACTTAAAATTTATAAATTACACGCATAGTACATATAGAAATATATATTTTTTTTAACTTTAAAAAGTGTAAAAGATTTTTTCATGTTTGCAAAGAAAACGACAGCAATAAAAATAAATATTGTTTTTGATTTCGCTTTTTACGATGGGTTACAAAAAGAAACATTTACGGATGTGGCAATTCACTAAGCAACATATGTATGGACACATGTTTTAGTGTACGGATGCAAGAACAGCTGTGACACATTATTATGTGCGACCGTTTTTATTATTGCACAATTTGGACTATAAAAAAGCGGAATTAAACCAAACAGCTTTCCTTTTAATTTTTTTACAAGAAAAAATTCGGTGTCTAAAGAAAGAGGTGCTGTTCCAAATGTGAATGCGTCAAAAAACGTCAAAATTATTCAAACTTAATGATCTAACGTCGCGGTCGACAGCCGAACTCGCATTCTCATAGAATCTGTCAACGGTTTGGAAGAAAACTAAAACGTATAACGCAAATAAAAGGGAGATCTTGACCAAGAATCTCGAAACTAACGGACAATTAATCTATGCCTTTCTGTCATTCTGGTTTTTAAGTCTAGTGTCAAATTATCATTTTATCTTTGTTCAGTATGGCTTGACAAATCAAATTCAAATGCAAAGTATTAAAAAATAAAAATAAATAAAAGTCCAGCAAGATCTCAAACCAATCAATATTCATGCACATTTTTACAAATCTAACATACTTCCGGTTTTAAAGATATATTGGTGCTTCACAATGAATTATAAAAAAAAATTTTGTGAAAAATAAAAATATGTGCAGCTTTCGAAAATGCTGTAAAAAATTATTTACTTATATTCATACAAAAACGAAATGAGCTAAAAATAATATTAGTAGTAGTACTAATATCTGTACGTACGTGTATATATCCTTTAATGCGCGTTCGTAAATCCTTTAAGAAAACCATATTCATTGTAATGGACGTCATAATTCAAACTTAATCACAGCAATTGGTATTGTAGAAATTATTTTTAGTTTTAAACGTAATAAACACAGCACTTTGGACATAATTTTATGGTTCAACTATAGCTTTTGAGGATTTTTTATATTTGGTTAGTAAATTTTTTTTTTTCTAAACGGAATCAAAAAATTGCATATAAAAAATTAATTAAACTTTTCAGCACTGATAATAATTTCTAAACCTCTCACATTTTTATGTATACACGAGTATGTATTTTTATGTATACACTAATCACTTAAGGTTTCTCAATGTCTTCCGCAACGCGAATTTTCGCCGATCGCAAGTGTTGTCGCCACAAATTGACAAACTGTACAGCAACGTACGTGCTAAGAGGTAAAACTACAACAAATGACGTATATGAACGCTTCATTATTTTGATTTAACCATACAGTTGTAATGAGAATTGTCCAAACCAATACTAAATCGCAAATTACGCGCAACAATGAATCCGCCAGCGTCGAAAAAATACACAAAACGAAGTGTGAAAACGCTTACGAAGCGCAAATTGTAATAAAGGCGTGGGCAGACACCCAAAATAACACTCGAATGTATTAAAAAGAAAAAACAAAAAAAAAAACAGACGAAAACAAAAATGTTGAGAAAAACCCAATTGACGAATTTAACAGCGCAGAAAAGGCGAAATTAAGGCAAATAAAATATAAACAAGTGTATTGACGTTCGTAAAGCGTCGATTTGGTAGGAAAAATTTTCGGGCGACATTGAGTCTTAAAGCTATACGCTTACTTCGTGGACAAATAGGCGAATTCACCAACCGAAAACAAGAAAACAAATACAAATAATAATAACAAGATAAAAAAAAGACACATTGGAAAGGCGAACATGCGGACCTGATTAAAATAGAAAAATTATAATAAACATCAAACGCGACAAATAGCGAGCTCATTGAATACTATACACCCATCAGCGTCTATAATTTTTTGTCATATTAAAATTGAGATTTTCCTGCTACAAATGGAGTATAATATAATATTAACACATACATATGTATAAAGGCAAGCCACAAAAGTGCAGAAAGAATCCATGCATCGCGTGACACTCTCGAAGAATTATTCGATTGAGAACCATACTTGGTCCCAATGCATGGATCGCATGCACCTTTTAACTTTCATTAATATATATTTTTTAAATTTTACTCATTGCATTATTTATACATTGGTTTTTAAAGATCAGAATGTTGTTAGTACACAGAAGATCATCGTTACATTTTTCCTCTCTTGAGAACACCAAAATACAAACCTGAAAGAAAAGAGAAAAATTGTACTTTTAGTAAGTAAATAGAAATGATTATTAAGCTTAATTTCAAAGATAAAAACAAGAAAAACGTTAACTTCGGCTGCACCGAAGCTATAATCCCCTTTACAGGTGCATTTCTTATAGCATAAACGGATATAAAAAGATCCTTATCTTGATTTTTATTGGTCATTTTGTATGGCAGCTGTATGTTATAATTGTCCAATCTAACAATTTCTTCGGAGATTCTACTGGTGCCTTGGTCAATAATCCATGCCGAGTTTTGTGAAGATAGCTTGTCAAATAAAAGAAAAGTTTCCCTACAAGGACTTGATTTCGATCGGTCCGTTGGCAGCTATATGCTATAGTGGTCTAATATCGGCGGTACCGACAAAGGAGCAGATGGGCATGGCTATATCGACTCAGCTCGTCACGCTGATCATTTAATTTATATAAGTATGTATGTATTATATATAATTTATACAGTCTCCGACGTTTCCTTCTAGGTGTTACAAACTTCACGGCAAACTTAATATACGATGTTCACTTTCATGAAAATACAATATACCTATAAGTAGATTACCGAGCGCTAAGTAAACCCTGTTAAGTAATAAAAGAGTATTACTCGTAACATAATGTTTTTTTCTAATAACTAGCGGCTACAAACTACGACAAGAATGTGATATCTACCTAATTAATAACGGTTTCTGTCTAGTTTTCTCTTTCAAGTTAAGTTTCAATCGAAAAATCTACTTGTGTTGCATGTACGATCGTAGGTAAAATCTGTGATAATGAGAATGATCAGTTGCTGCATGTGAAGTCATTCTTTCTAATGCCGGCAAACATTTTGGCGCATGTCAAATTATGTTACAACAAAGCTTCTTCTTCGAAACCGAAAATACTAAAAACTAAACACTACGAATTCATATGCAAATACCATAACAGTCTGCAACATCTTTGGTGCAACCCATTGGTGCTTGTGCAACAAAAATATAATATGACAAAGAAACACATTACAAAAGCAAATGTCTTACGAGTTTTCACTCGATATACAATATTTATGGAATTGTCTGTAGTCCATTTCAAGCGGAGCGTCTAAAATTTTATAATCTCGACAAGTGCCACAAAATTTCCCAACAACAAATAAACAATGACAAAAGTCACCCCAAACTATTAACAGCAACCTGTCCGTACTTACTCTAACCGTAACAGTGAGTTAGTAGAGAACGTTAACGTAACGGTAACAGTATACAAGTAATCATATAATGTTGCATAAATTAAGTTTTTGTTTACTGATTTCACGTTATTGTTGTTGTTTCTTTTTATTCGTATCTTCCACCAGCTTTGGATTGTGTTGCAACGTTTATATGAGACGAGCACTAGTTTTTTGAGACGCCTGAAGCATTTGATGAGCATTGTTACATGTGATGGGCTCTGTTAGGAGGAGAATAGGTAAGTAGAGTAGAGTAGAATGTTGGTCAATATGGATGGGAAAATGTTGCCCAACGTTAATGCATTTGCATACTCGTAATTCAGTTGTTTCAAGCGAAACAGTAGAGCTGGCGTACATAAGTATTATGGATGTCTGTAGTTAAGTTAATGTTTTTTTGTGATAGCTGAGCAATTCATTCTCAACTATTACCGACTTTATCGACAAAATGATAACATTGCAATTCTTATTGGAATTAATGAAAATCAGGGAAGCATTTACATTAGAGCATTTGCAATTTCTATTCTCATTGTCAGTCTTAACATGATTTAATATGGTTTCAATTACCATTGTATTGTTAAAATAAAGCAACTACTGAAAATAATCAACAGATCTTGATATCTTGTCTATATGGACAAGAAAAATAAGATCTAGCATCTGATGGGAATACGTTATATTTCATATTGCAAATAGAGTTTTATTTTAATTACTTTTCAGATGTGGTATCCATTACAAAATTAGGAAGAATCGACATACGCGAAAATATATGTATAGTGCAAAAAAAAAATCAAACTAATTTAAAAAATAGGTTCCTAAATATGGGATATAGAATCATGTGCGCCAAATTAAAACCAAATCATTCAGACATAAGCATCTTCGCTTCTACTCATCACGACGATCATTAATCGATAACCTAACCCTATACGGATTCGTTTAAAAACCCGAAGCACTTTTTTCAATACAATAGAGATAACAGCAAAAAACTACAATCTTAATGATTCGTCCGGTGTCAAAACCATTACAAGTATCTACACAGTTTCTTTAATTCTATAAGAAGCGAATTACCATGTGATCCAAAATTAAACGGACTGAACCATAAACTGCGCGCGCAAACTGAATCGATAAAATCCATTCACTTCTGTTATTTACGATAACAACGAAAGTGTTAAAGAAATCGTACTTGAAAATAGTCGAGTTGGCATTTCAACTTGTCTTATGGATCGACTCAATACATTTAGGTTAATGTTTTGGGTATAAAGCGTGTCAATGCTTGACTCGTACCACAAGACCCGAATCTTTTGCAAAAACAACGTCGAGTAGAGAACGTAAAAGAGATGCTTGGCAACGTAGCTGAAGACGCTTCATTCATTAAACGCATACTTACTGGTGACGCCACGTGAGTTTATTATGAATATGACGTCGAGAGTGCCTAACAAACTAGCGCTCTGAGCCGAAACTGAAAAAACAAATTTCGATGAAGAAAATGAAGGCGTTTCCAGCCGAGGCTTAAGTGTATGGAAAAACGGATTAAGCGTTGAAATGTATTGGCGCAGGAGTATGTTTTGAAAGAGATAATAAAGATTTGTATTCTTGTCAAGCCGGCTCACACTTGATCAGATGCTATAAAATTGTTCAATTCAATGTTTATGGTATGTCAATCGTTTCCCGTTGTTTAGCGTCTTTATAGCGATACGACCATTAACACCTGATAGCCTCAACATTGATGTGTTTAACATGCGAAAAGCTTCTTTTAGCCTTAATTCGCAATATAGGACTCTTCAGAGTGCTGATGTTGCTACTGATGAGTTCGACCTATTTACATTCGCACCTAGATAACCGCTACAACAACAATCTACCTATTTACATTCAATCTTAGCATCAACAATAAAAATCTTTCTTGGCTTTCTCCAACAAACATATATTTATGTAACTGTAGGTGCATATATCAGTAGAAATGTGTGACAAACGAACTTATTTGAGTGCAAGTGGTGCTATCGAGTGCAAGCCAAAGCGGTGAAAAGTGCAAGCAACGATCTAAATATTCCGAAAATGTGCCCAATTCTACTGCGACTGTTGTTGTTGGCATGTCGTATGTAGTACGCATGTAGGTATGTATGTGTGCACCCATTGCCTACTTGCGATGAGCTTGTTTTGCACGTCAGCATGCAAGGTGTCCGAATTGGTAGAGAATAAATTTAAAACCAAAACATGTATACACAACCACTACACACACACATACATACATACATATGTACATTTACACGTGAATTGATTTTTCGTAAATATTTGGCAGTACAATATTTATGGCAATAAACAAGCAATAAAGCCGAAAAGGAATGCGAAAAGAGATGTGTGTGCATTTGTTTAATCTATAAATGGCGCTTACTTTTTATCTTTTTCGCGTTCTGCGGCCGAGAACGAGTTTTTCATCACTATCGCACAGCGTTTAATAAAGCGAAACTTTTCTTTTAAGTGGACTCGTTGCACTAGTCGAAAATATTATGAACACGATTCTGCTCAAACACGAAATTGCACGCGTGGGCGTATGCCAACACGGCTGCTGCTGCGTTCTGTGACAACAGTTGACCATGAACTTTGCGCATTTTTATTTCCCGATAGCAGCTTGCGTTCGGCGCTCTCCGAATCAAATGCATTTTCGTATTTTTTTATTGCTACTCACTCAAGTGACACACTTCACCGTGGGCTGTAATGCGGAATGCACGCAGCACTTGCGTTTGTATTGTGTGTGCGTTCGCGTTGATTTTTAAGGTATTCCTACTCGAGTTTACCACCGTACGGCACTATGCGTCATCAGGAGCGCTTCAGCAGGCGATCAAATACACGCACGCACACGCACACGCATTCTCACGTAGAATGACAACGGCCGTTTCACGAAATATATTTATAATAACAACAACAACACCAACACATATGCATGAGTGTCACTTTGGTGAATAATTGAATGCAGATAGCAATAACACCACCAAATAATAAATAAATAGTAATAGTAGACACAACTTTCACGACAACGGTGGCGGTGACGGAGACGACAACAACAACTACGGTCGCACTACAAATTTTAACCGTAAAAGCGAGCGTCCAGCCGATATGTGGCTGTAATGTTTCAAGATTTCGTACCGAATGAAGGCCAAATATGTACGCTGCAAGTGCCGCCAACCGACGACCGGCTTCGAACGCTACACGAGACCAACTAAATTCCAAGTCAACAACAAAAAGCCTGAGTAATGCTAACAGTCACACCATCATGCTCGTGTGTACCTCCAAGCAGAGTCTATCACAGCACAAACAGTGGACAAACGTTTACCTCGTACACATATCTCCAGCGGAAGAAAGAAAATACTAACAAAAGCAAAGACAAAGCAGACATTGTGAAATGAGGAAAGAAAGAAAGAGCAGTGAAAACAACCAAACAGTTCAAAACAACAAATTTAGACTCTGAGCACGTCTTCCAGTCAAGCTGAGCTAAGCGTACGAGAAACAATAGTGCCGTCACACAGACAGAGAGGAGCTCCAAAGCAAGACGTACGCTGTTTCTGTATGCCAGAGGAGTAAGAGAGCAAATAACGATGTTAAAAGTATTTTACGTATGCAGACGCTCGCAAGTGTCTTAAGCCACAATTTGATAAGCCATTGTTTTTGTGCTAGCCTTTACGCTGCATTAAGGGATATTTATAGATAAAGGAAGACGGCGTGACTGCTGCTGAGAAGTGAATGGGTTTATATTTAAAGGCATCGGAATTTTGAGTGCCGCATTAAAATAAAAACGATTTTAAAGTGGAATGTCAGCCTGCTTAAATAAAGACCAAAAGAATATAAATTGTCATATTTTTATCGAGGTTGCACATGTCTTACATATCTTAGGACTAGGTATGTTGAAAAAGCAAAAATTGGGGAGTTGTAATGGTACGCTCAACAGAACATTTCTTTGGTTCCCTTTTCAGCAAATTTTAGGAGCAATGAGCTTGCTTTGACAGAGTTCTTTCTATAATAAAATTGAAGTTGACCTTTTTCGTGCTTAAAATACTGCAAGCCAATGGGTTAAATTGAAGTCGTCATGCAAATGCAGGACCTTCTTAGTGATCTAGGGAGTACGCTACGACCGCTTTTTTTATATATAATATAAGTATATATTATTAGAAACGGAATCTTTAAGATTTTACAGAGTATTATTAATACTTTTTTTTTGTTTGTGTTGATATAAAAAACGACAGAATTTATAAAAACAAAACCCAATAACAATAATATTAACTCTTAACACCTGCAACTACGCTGGTGATACGTTGTAAGCTTTTAGAATTTAGTGACATGAAGTTTTATTGCCAGTTTATTGTACTTTCACAGCGCTCTCAAAGAATTTCTTCAGAATGCTGATGAAACTGCGGACGCGTGCCACAAGAGAAGTAATGATTGTATGGCGTTGCATGCCTATATGACAAAAAAGCCTACACATGACACATACCCAGTAGAGATAGCTAAGCCAAGTACAATATAAGTAAAGCCTCTAAATACAGTGACAGTAAAGTTGTCAAATAATAAAGCGAGAGTAGTAAACAAACTAGATATGGAATTTAAAGGTTGATCTAAGCCAAAACTATTTAAGAGAACTAAGAAAAAGGTGTGGTTTTATAAGTAATTCTAACAGCTAAGGCTAGGGCTAACAGTTATGTTATCTGTACAAGACCAGATGGACAAATAATGGACTGCAAAAATCTATATTAATTTAAGATAATCTCAATATTCCACCAGGGTTACACATGATAGATGATGTCTAAGTGCTTTTATTATTTTTTTATTGTTACAGTTGTGTTTGTTAATATTTTTTATCATAGTTGTAGTTTGTCATACCGTAATTCTCGGAAAACAACCGCTAGTTGGTACCACTGTATACGTGTGTGTGTGTGTGGGTATGGAGACTCACTGGAGCCACTACTGCAGCTACAGTGCCACAAAGCTTCCATGTGCCTTTCAGTGCGTGTGTGTGAGCTCGCTGCACAAAGCCACGAACGAGTTATTGTATGAGCATAAACTTTAATCATTCATCACGCGACTGAATGGTTGATTTCACGCTTTTGTTGTTGTAATGTTGCAGTTGCATTTTCCATGCTCAAACACCCGAACACACATCGGCTCAGAGTCATACAGCAGATGTATGTGCATACATTTTATTTGTCTACTTGTGGATATGCCAATTAAAAGAGCTCATAGAAATTTATAAAGATGTCATAAACGATGATATTCACGACCCACATAAACAGCAGTTTGTTTTCTTTTTTCTCTCTCCCTTTTCCTCAGCAGAAAATGCCAGTGCAATTAAATCAAACCACATGGATAACTTCCAAATTAATAAATACTTCGTGGAAATGCCCCGAACTATTTGGGTATTATTGGAACTCAGTATGAATAGTTGCGGTTGTCACCTGCATATATATATGTTTCGAAAGCATTCATCGAATAGTTCAGTTTTCTATATATGATGAAATTATGAAAATTAATTTAGAAAACATCGATTTGAGATATCTAAAATTTGCCTACTAACGGAACAACCAGATAGTTCTGAAAGCTAGAAGAAATCCGCATAAGAAAAAGAGATAAGTTGGTTTAATGCGCTTATTTTTCAAAGTTAAAAAACTCGTTTCAAAATATATTATGTACTTTAAAAATCGACGATTCATTAAAAAATAGAATTCCCTTGATCCCGTAGCCGATCTCCAGGAAAACCTCTAAAAACTCAACAAAAAAAATATTATTACTATAAATTAATATAGATAATGATCGAAGGATCACAGTCAAAATTTTGATTTTTAAGAAAATGCTGGCTTCCCAAACAAAATAGTTTTTTGTGAAAAAATTTACATTTCGAAATTATTATCAAAAATTGTTTTCCTTCCATCATAACCTGACAAATATATGTATCTAAAAAGGTCATGTGAAACGTGCAAATCAACACACTGACTGTGAAAACAGCGTTTCCAGAAAAACGGGTTTAGTTAGTTAGTTCAAATTTTCAGAGAAAATATTCAAATATATGTGCATTTTATATTTATATAATAAAAATAGATTGTTTGAAATTCACAAGTGTATATAACGCTTTCATGCGATGGAAAGTATTTTTAAATATTCAGCAGAAATCTTTCTGAAATGTTTAGTTTCACTTCCACATTGTAAATTTCAATTGAAATTGAACCCTTCTCAAAAATGTTGGTAAGACTAAGCTTTATTCAGCCTCCATAGCTTAAGAGCCATATTCACTAATTCAGTTATCGGATTAATTTATCAAATTATTTTTAACAGGTGACAACTCTTATCAAAAAATAGATTCCTAACATTTCTGTCTTAAGAGTAGTATTTGTATGCACTTTTACATAAAAAGCCTCTCGCTTACCTAAATGTAAACTTAAGCTCTCTTGATGAGCGTACATACTCTCTCTGTAACCCCCTGAGATCTGGAATGCTCGTAACTGACCAACATTTATTTTCACAAATCGATAAAATGTACAAAAATGGAAACGAACCCTCTAAGCCGATTTAGAATTGTACCGCCATTTCGCTGTTTGACAGACGTTTTTACTTTCTTTTGAACTGTATGAAAAATTCGAAAGCGAAATACAGAAGACTCGAGCTTCTCTTCGCACATCACAATGTATGTGCAACGGGTGCAATAACTTAGGGAGGACAGCCACCATCCTATTAAATCTACCCTCATTAGCGTAAAGCCTACGGGAAGCCATACATGGTTTGACTTGTAGGTGATGACAGCAGGCAATTCTTTGCTAATCGAAATGTATGGGGGAAAAGGAAGATAGTTAGAAGATGGAACTATAGCAATGTTGCCAATGCATCATAAGCTGGCTTGAATGAGCTTAATCACGGCAATTTAGGGGGAGTTCCTTCAACTCTTGTGGCACACACAAAAAAATTATTTGTTTTTTAGAGAAAATTTTGCAAGTAAAAGTGAAAGAGCCGCCTCGCCTATGCGTCTAATTGAGAATTTTAATGCAAAAGAAATGCAACGAAAATCATTTAAGCTAAACACACTCTATTACATACATGGAAGACATACATATGTACACACATGCAATTGCTTTAATATTTAAGCGCGTGTTTTTTCGCATATTTCTTTATGCTGTGAAAATGATGAAAAAAAGCGAAATTTATGTAATGCTGCCGCAGCAGACCAAAGAAATCAAGCTTCATGCAAAATTAATTACACTCATAGCGGTTTTTAAAGAGACAAGTCAAAAGAAAAACGCAACACCAACGCTCAGTTGCCATACGAGTGACAATCGCCATTTTATTTTATTATACCCAATCGCAATGTCTTTTATGGGTATTCTGCAATTGTTTTAAAGACCCAACGGTTCTTCATTTCAGTGTAATGTAATCAGTGTACGAAATAAACTACATGGTTAGCTCAGAGAGGGCATCCTGAGAGAGTGCACGTAGGAAATGTATTTGCTCCTCCAGGAGTTATGACCCAAAACATGTTTATACTTTTTTGCTGATAATTAATTAATACACACGTCATTTCGATGGAATTGTTTCAAGTTAATTTTTGTGTCATAGTCCTAATTATATTCCAAGAGCGGCACAATAAACCGTTTATTTCCAAAAACAAACGTTCTTATATTCCCACTTGTTTCGAATTCGACGTTAGAACGATAGATGGTGCGATGCTCGAGTCATTGCCATTGCAGTTCATATGACCTTGAGTAGATTCCTTTACTTTCAAGAACAAATAACTTCACATGTAACTTACAGTAGCGGACAAAACATTTGCAACTGAAATATGACAATGAAAATTCTGTCGATTACACAAACCGTAATTGCAGGAGACCTACTCTTTTAATTTTATTTTAAACGTTGAATGTTGAATAAGTTAAATATATAAAAATTTTTTTAAAATTTTACAGTTTATTTGTTAAATGTATAGTAAATAAATTTAAAAAAAAATTTCACATCTATATTAAATAAGACAAAAAAAATTGCAACTCAAAGATTTTTTAATAAAATTTTGTGGCAAACCCATTACTCTAATAATTGCTTTGGTTATTAGGCTATTCACTATGGTTTGGATTATATTTCTCCATGCCTCCGGGACTCTTTGGAGAAACTGATCAGCATTTGCCACATTAATGCGATCAAGATCTGGAGATTGTGGGGTCCACTCTATTACATCTATTTAATTCCTCTGGATCCATAATTTTCAGAGCTTTGCCATATGCTTAGAGTCGACTCACTTTAGTCGCATTTCCCATTCAGCATGTGGAAGTATTACAGATTTCATAATGTCTCTGTAGATGTACCGATCCATGGTACCATTAATATGATGAAGTGGCCCCAAACCAGAAGCTGAAAAGCATGCCCAGACCATAACATAGATAGTGGCTTTGTTTGACTGTTTTTAGACAATATGAATTTTTAAGTTGTTTGTTTCGTGTGCGCCGAACGAAACACACGTCATCTCTTGCTACCAAATTAAATTTGGCCACCTGCTTATCAGAAATTCTATATGGTCCTTAGCCAACTGTAATCGTCTTATTTGATTACGTTTGCTAATAAGGTAATAACACATTTTGAATTGTTTTCAAATATAACCGCCAAAAGGAAAAAATATCACAATAAACATTTCAAAATGCATATGTATGTAACTTCAATGCTGTAAATTTAAAAGCAATTCAAAGGAAAAATGTCATTGTGAGAGAAAAAAATCTATGACTTCCTCTAGTTGCAAATATTTTGTCCGAGACTGTACATACTGAAGTATATCCCTTCGATGAGTTTTTTTGACAGATAACCGAATAT